TAGATTCTGCTAAATAATGCTCTATTTCTCCTTATCCTTCATATTGTCATAACATTTCAGCTTTATTTTCTACTGTGTTCCAACAAATAAAGCTTGAATAATTTGCTGAGCTTCTAACAACTCAGTGCCAGATTTTTACGTTATAAAATTATGTACTGAAACATCTAAAACTGATAAAGATTAAGCACCCAGTTCCACGTAGAAAATACTAATACAGACATGCTTTTGGTGTTATGCTAAATTTAAATTTCACCCAATCTGAGTTGGGTATTATAGTGGGGCAACAAAGAGGAACAAGGTAGCAATAACACAAAATGCAAACATGAACACTGCAGATGTGAGAAGTAAAATACATCTGAGAACAACTCTCAGAATAGTAATTATTTTGTGATCTCATATTACTGCCATGAGTTTAAACATCTCCCTTAATCCAAAGGTTATAAAAATTGTTTAGCACCGTCCTATTGATGGATGGATGTGTTTCATCTTAACTTCCTTTTACTGTCTGCCCTCTGGTAGAAGTGTTGTCCTTCGAGGTTCCATCAAAGGACATTTAACAAAAGTGAAGGCAGAGAAACTGGCTAATCAACCACCAGAAAAATGTACCCCTGGGTAACTGCTGGATGAATCAATATAGTTAAGTACTGCCATGCCCATCTCTCAGGTGTAAAAGGTGTTCCTTTTTATTTTATTTCTCTGCTCTGTGACCCCTGCCCCCAAGACTCTTAGAATCTTGAGACTATATAAATACAAAATCCAGAAAGTTGATAATTTTTAATTATACAAAATTAATCTAAGAATACATTTGTTTTGATGTTATTTCTATTTCCAAAGATGGAAATACTAGTGGGTAGCTGCAGGAGTAAGGGAGAGAGAAGAAATGGAAAGTGAATTTTATCATTGTCTCTGTACTTCAGAATTCATTCCCACATTTTGGATTACAACTGTGAACTTACTAAAGATTTTAATTGCTATTTGGTTTCCATTATCTCACAAAGGAATCCCATTTCCTAGTGGTTATTTGAACACTCCCAGGTTATCTGTTTTTCTTGTTGGATCCAAAGAAGTAAGGACAATGAAGTGTGAGTTTCCTATACACTTTAAGATCAAAAGACATGTATCTGGGAAGGAAAGTTTCTATGCAAAGAACAAATCTAAAGTATTAAATATATACTGACTTCTTGTGTGGGGAACACAATCAACATTTATAAATTAGGATTCATAATCCTGACCCTCACTTTTAGATAGTTATTCAACTATCCTTTTGAATATTTTCACTGCATGCAGATGGTTTCATTATAATTTTATCATTTAAAGGTTCAAGTCTGGATTCTTAAAGCAAATATTCAGAAAATGCTGTTATATCTGGAGTCATAAAAGGATCTAGTTCCTGGCAAAAGATAGGGATAGAAAAAAAGCAGAGAATTCTTTTTGTTAAAGAAATATAGGCTTTGTTAGGGCAATATTTATCATATGAAATCATAGATTTTAAATAATTCAAAGGTTTTATTTTAGCTGTTTAAGGAAAGATTAAGTTTGGGATACAAAAATGATTCTCCAATTTTAATTTAAGATTATGAGATATTTTGAGAGTGAAACTAATTTAGTCAACAAATCCTAATTGAGCTTTTACTCTGTGCCTTGCTCTAATGGTTTAAGATTTTTCTTTTTTATTGTTCTATATACTCTCCAGTGAAAATTCACAATGAAAATTTGACATCCATTGGATTTGAAAGGTTTTTAGACTACTAACTATCAAACTCCAAAAATACTTAAGTTGTCCCTAAAAATGATATGAGTAAGCTACACTAAACTGTGGTGACCCCTAAGTGCTAAGGTGGGTTCTAAGTGTGAAAGGTGATTACTTACATCTGCTTCAAAACCAGCAGTTTAGAAATTTATGTTGATTTAAAGAAAATTAAATTAGAAAGACCATTTCATTTATAACTTGATGCCCATATGAAATAAAAAATTATTGAATTATAGCATAGATTAAACTGCCCAAATTTATGAAAAGTGAGAGCTTCGAGTGGATATAAATTAATCAGGAAAATCGTAAAAGTAAAATGCCTCATAACTGAGACAGCTAGAAAATAAAATTACTAATAAAGTGAAAGAAGTAAGGTAAATAGTGCGATAGAACAAGACCTATGTAATTAACCAAATTTAATGTGTTTCCATCAAGCATCAGGCCTAGAAAGGAGTAAGATTTTAGAAAATGAGGCAGTGAATTAAGGTGTTCAAAACTAGAATTTTAATCTCAATATTCACACAGAATCGCAGGATTGACAATTTATAACAAAGTTATATAAATGTCACTCTTATCAATTTCTGCATGGGCATTAGAAGCCTTGTCTTTAGGCAGTGCAAACCTAGTCCCAGAAACTGGTTTCTAATTTAGAGCTGTATTGTTTTTGGAAAATGTGAAGGCTACAGAGATATTTCCAAATTGATGCACAAGAGGGCTTGATAGCTCTAAGTAGGTAATTCTCATCAGTGTTAATCAGGTCCCTGGGGCAACCCTCTTCTCTCTGCATCAGTAGGAATATCTATCTACTTCTTGCATTAAATATGCCTCTAACATATTTCCCTGTGTATCCAAGTCATTCACCAGGAATACTGTATGGAGTAAATAAATTTGGAAAAGAAGAAGTGCTCATTCTTCAAATGATGAGTTGCATTGCCCCAGGCAGAGAGGATCAATGTCAGTTTGCTAGAGCTACATGTTAGCTCCTTCAGGGTGGGGGCTCTTCTACCCACTTTATTTATTTATTCTCTCCCATCTTCCCTTTCAGAACACAACATATTGTTTTAAAAAACGTATCTCCCCACCCACCTCATGTTATTCAAGAACTGTTGGTGTTAAATTTCTGTCTTCTGCTTTTGAATCAGATGATATATCTGTATAGCCACTGAAAAGCAAATAGACTTTGTCTGGGGCCATTGAAGTTTGGGCCTGTTAAACTCCAACATGAAATAGCAACATGGGGAGCTATAGAACTTGTGAAACTGAATCTGAGATCTGGAAAAGTCTTCTGCCTTATTCTGAAGGTTGCTCTGGAGATGACTTTCTGAGAGCAGGGATAGTTGGGGGATGACCGTGGTAAGTATTTCAGAATGGCCAAGCCAAGATTTTTATAAGACTTGAATTTAAAGATTTGATAATAATTGCTGCATATATAGAATCACTGCTAAGACAAGAAGGAAACCAGACGAAGGATAAATAGAGAACCCTAATTAAAGACTAGGTATCTTAAAATATTGGGCACAAAATCAGTTAATTTAACATCTTGGGGATCATGTCATATTCATATCTGAATTCTTAATATCTATCATATGCCTAATGTACACAGTTGGCCCTCAAAAATATTTGTTGGACTGAATTATGTTAGAGAGTTAATTTAGACAGCAAAGCTCTTTATTCTATTTTCCAACAGCTGATTTATGAATTATTAGAGTAAGGACTGAAATCTAGAGATATATTGTATTCTGCTTATGTGCTCAGAAATATTTATTGAATGAATGAGTAGATGAATTAATTAATGAATGAAAAATTGGTGCCCAAGTTCTGGTATAGATTGGATATATCTGCCCTTTAGAGTTACAATTTCACTTAGTGCACGGAGATTATTATCCGATAACCTGAAAATATCTGACTGACCAGGTCACATTTACTTTTCTTCTACATAGCTGAGCTTCTAATGGAACAGATGACACTCCAGAATGGAAAGACCCAACATGTCATTAGTATGTCTCTGTGTAATACTAAGGACAGGAACCCACAGAACTTCCTGGATCCAAAGCCACTCACAAGGAAAAGCAAGCAGTCAGGCTTCGACAAGATTTGAAATCTTGTAAATCATTTTGGGGTAAGAAATGGAAGGTTTTAGTTTTTGTTATACTATTTTTCATGAAGCTTAAATTTTTTTCTAGAATTAGCAAGAGAAAATGTTTAATGGTTTGCCTTTTCTTAAAGAAAAGGAAGAAAATTAAAACAACCCAAAGAATCAACTAGAAAATTCTATTTATATCTTTTAGCCTTTTAAGAAATAAGATCCTGACCCAACTCCAGCTTTTAATTCTATTAAACATACACAGAAATTCCATGATATCTGTTCTCTATTATATACATATAAATGTTTAACTTAGAGTAAGTCTCAAAACAGACAACTTGGGAAGGTTGATAGGAAATCATCAGGGACTGCAGTTGCCTACTGGACATTATCTAATATATAGCTCACTATAAAGAAATACCATAAAACATCAAAATGTATCTGGGTACAAATGGGGAACACATTAAAGCTTCTGATTGCCAAAGTCCTCTCAACTTCAGCACAGTAGATACATTTTGAAGCATCACAGCTGTTGACATGGCATAGTACAGTACTAATTTTGTGTTTACTATACTGTATCATTGCACAAGTTCTCTAGACACACAATGAACAAAATTAGTATAAATATAATACCATGTTAACTTCTGTTGAAATCCCATGGAACTTTTTTATTTTTATTTATTTTTATTTATTTTTATTTATTTTTGGGGCCACTTAGGCTGAGAACAATTCATGAATTTTAAGTGATATTTACTAATCTTTATGTCTCCATACTTTGGGTTCATGCTTTTTTTGATGTCATTCTAATATAGATCTCTTCATGTCTCCACCCCCTGTCAATGTCAGCCACTGGCTGCTGTACATTTTCTGTTCCAGTGGTGAATCTGAACATCTGATTGCCCAAAGTTAGTTAGAATTTTTTTGTTAGCTATTAAGGAACTGACTTTAAATTTTCTTGTGGTCTTATTACTCCTTCCATGGGATTTGATGCTTTCATTTATAAATCGATATTTATATATGTATGCTTGTACATATATAGATACAGAAAATATACACACATTAACATACTATAATATATATAAAACACATGTATAATCACATATATGTATGTATTGTTTTTTGCAAAAGAAAAAAGAAAGCAAGCAAAACAAGACTGACCTGACCTACCTGTACTGGGCTCACATTCAACGAAGTCTTCATCATCACTTGAACATTCAGCAGATGAGACAAGGTCATCTGATGTTGGCTGTTCATGTCAAAGAAAACAATAACAGGGTGGGGGGAAGAAAGGGAAAAGAGAAAGAGAGAGATAAGGAAACTCATGAACAAAGACATCAAAGACTCATCATTGTGCCCCGTCTCCCATCACTATTATTATTTCTTTTCTCTAGAGAGGGCATGCCGTAGAATAGAGAATTTTTAACCCTTAAGTAGCTGTGAATGGCTATGGGTCCAGACAATCTATGGGGGCCTTCTGTAAAGCTGAGTAACCCAAGGTGGTTCCACGAGGCTCAAGTCTAACTCATCCCTACAAATGACATTGTGCAGCCTGACTCTATTCTGACTTTAATTTCAGTTGTGAGAATCAGAAGCACAGGAGAAGGGCTGTTGTAAAGGGTGGGCAATGCAAGAGGACAGGCCAAAACAGAAATGCACTGTGGCTTTGAGAGAGTTCCAATGCATATGGCGTATGGTCTCAAGAGTATGACTTGGTGGTTGTGACTCTATAGGCTGGCATAATTAATGAATGCTATTGAATGCATTCTGTTCAGGGACAGCATAATGGCTTTTATCACTGGCAGCAATTCCTTCATGTAATTGCTACAATAGCTGAATTAGTAATGTGGACCAGCAGAGCGACACCACACAGCAGCCCTGAACACAGGTAAGGCTGTTTCTGAAGACAGCAGAAAAGAAATTTGATTGCAACAATAGTAATTCAACCTGGTACACTTTCTAAATTCTGAGTCCTGTAGGAATTCCCCAATGCCAGGGAATCCATTGCAAGAAATAAAGAGGGCTGTGAGTATTAACAGTGAGAAGGGCCCTTGCCACACAGTAGGTGAGAAGATGACTTTCTGTACCTGGTACATACTGCATGTACAGTAAATACTGCAGAATGAATAAATGAATCTACAGGCCTTATGCAAAAAACAAACATTGGCCTACTATGTGTTTAAGAGTACAATACATTATAGTTGCTCAATAATGCCCATTTATTTCCCTTTATGCTAATAACATTAACTGACTTGCTGATCCTATTCCTGATGCACTGAAGTCCAGATCCATGTTCAAGAAGAAAAGGTAATAAGGAAACTGCCTCCCTTCTATTGAGCAATTACTATAAGCCAGATGTTGTGCTCGGCATGTATCTATACCTATTCATTGTAGTAATTATTAATTAATTAGACACAATTCTCACAACCACCTTTTGGGACAGGGATGACTATTCTATGTTTAATTAGAATTGAAGTTAGGTTAAGTGAGTTGCTAAAGGACATGCAGCTAGTAAAACACATAGTGGGAGTTTGAACAGATACATCTCAGTTAAAGTCTGCATTTGTGGCTCACAATAGGCGTCTTTTACCTGGTCTTACATTACATTATGGGCTGAGTTATGCCCACCCCCCGACATTCCTATGTTGAAGTCCTAACCCCCATCACCTCGAACAAGACTATATTTGGAGATAGGGCCTTAAAGAGGTAATTAAGTTAAAAGGAAGTCCTTAGGGTGAGCCCTAATCCAACATGACTGGTGTCCCTATAAAAAGAGGAGATTAGGACACAAACAAAACACAGTGGGAAGACGACCCTGTGAAGACACAGGGGAGCAGACAGCCATCTACAAGCCACGGAGGGAGGCCTCAGAGGAAACCAAGCCTGCCAACCCCTTGATTACAGACTTCTTGTCACCAGAACTGTGAGGAAATACATTTCTGTTGTTTAAGCCACCTAGTCTGTGGCACTTTGTTATGGCATCCCTAGTAAACAAATACATATGACAACCCATATGCTCAGTATTTCCAGAAAATATCCCTTTTAAAATAGATGCAGTAGGTATAGAATTACTGGACACAGCAAAGACCAGTAGAAAGACCACATTAGATTATTCATTCAATTGACAGTGGCAGAGAGGTGCCTTAAAAAACATTATTGATCTTTATTCTACATCTGATAGGGCGACAGTTCAAATCCTGCTTCTACTGAAGGTTAGCAGAAAAAAGAATTTTCAAACATACTTTTTTGTTTTTTATCAATTAGATGCTGCTGAATTGTATGTTTCAGTTCCAGCAGGTGACACTCATAGTTGTATACTGGGATACCATTATTTGTGTTAGAGAAATGGTGGGCATATTCCCTTGGTGTTTCCTGCTAGTACAGGGACCCACACAGGTCCACTTCCAGTTACTTAGGGAAGGGAGAAGGTAAGGGAATAAGTGTTAACCGTACAAACGAAAAAGGTAATTATATGAATCATATAATTATATGATTCAAACGCCATTTTGGAAGAGCCACAATCATTGTCTGATACTTCTTCAGCATATATTCTCTGTAGGGCAATACCTCCCCCAAGGTAGCAAAAATTGATTTGGACTGGGGAAAAATTCTTAAATATTTACAATGGTTTGTGACCCTCCAAAAGCCCACAGTTACATACATGAATATATAATATATTATTGCTATTAAAAATTTGCAGGAGAAGGGCACTTGGGGAAAAAAAGTCTGGAAAGCTCCTTAGGGAGGCAGTAATGAAAAAGAGGGTGAGAACACACTTCTGAAGGGTATTCAATGGGAAACTGTCAGTGTCTTGACTGTAAGGACCTTGCAGAATTGCCATGTGGCGCTTTGGTTCCTAATATTGAGTGAAAACTGGTGAGTTAATGAAAATCTAGTGAGCTCCTTTCAAGAACAGAAGGTCAAGACAATGCAATTTATAAAGGCCATTGAGCAAACGTGTAAAAACAAGACATAACTCTGATAGAAATCAAAACATGAATTAACAAAAACATTAGTGAAATCTTTAACTTGACGGAGATATCTTCATGAGTATGGGCCAAAATCAATGATTCTGGAAAGGGAAGAGGGAGGGGTGGGATAGGGAGAGATTTGTTAAAGGATACAAACTCACAGCTAGATAGGAGGGATAAATTCTAATGTTCCTAAGTATTGGATGACTACACTTAACAATACTATACAATTGTAAATAGCTAGAAGTATATTGAATGTTACTAACACAAAGAAATGATAAATGTATGAGATGTTGGATGTGCTAATTACCCTGATCTGATCACTATGCATTACATATACTGAAACATCACTATGTACCCCATGAATATGTATAATTATTATTTGTCAATTTAAAAAAAGTTTAGGAAAAGAAATTATGGAAATTTGTTTTTTTCAGAAAAGCAATATAGATTGAGGTTACTATTTTCCTTTCAGCTTCCTCCAGCCTCCCCTAATACTACTAAGTTTCTCTCCCCTGTGGTTTGAGTGACACTGTCCCCAGCCCCACTGGCCTCGCCCATCCAACCTATTATTCCATGCCAAGAATGGGCCCCTAATAGCCACTAAAGACCCCACACTTGTGTTCTTCCATGTTCCGACTCCCTTTCTCCACTTGGAACCCTTCCTGTGCCCCACTTGCCAGAGATTTGTTTTCTGTTATCTTCTATATAAGCATGTATGAATATAATGGTCCTCCCAGACCACAGAACCATATTTTTCTAGTAGCTCCTATAAATGGTACCTAGACTCAGAGAAAGTTAAAAGGGAGGCAGTCTAGCAGAGTGTAGTAAGAACGAGCCTAACTCTAGACATAACACAACTGTGAATCCCAACTTCTCCAGAGTCAGAAAGTGACCTGAGTGTGTGTGTGTGTGTGTGTGTGTGTGTGTATTACTTCACTAAGTAACTAAATAAATTAACCAACAAATTATACACAATAATTATAAGCCCAGTAGCCACTCCTAAATTAAATAAATTTGGTATATGCCCATGCAATCTATTTTATATGATTCATACCCTATTAGAACTGCTCTATGTTGCTGATAATTCATTACCTCTATTTTATGATACACACACCTTTTCTGGTTACACCTGTCATGAGGAGTAATAAAGAAAAATATACTCATAAAGAGTTTAAAATGTCATTGAAAGATAATCTGTTTCCAATGGCTCTGGGTGCAGATAATCAGCATGGGTCTTCTATGAATTCAGTTTCTTCCTTTTTGTCCCTCAAACCTCATCATCACCATTTAGAGCCACAGCCAACTGAAATTCCCAAAGCAACTGTGAACATCTCAATACCTCCTTACCCAACGTGGTAGCCAATATTTTTCCTAGAGAACTTGGCACCCAACCCTGGCCATGCCTACCACAGCACACAGTGTAGTTTAAGAAGGACTTACTGTGCCAGGCGCATCAAGTCTTGATTTGCAAAAGGATACAGGATTACTAATTCTACATTAAAAAAAAAAATTTTTTTTTTTTTTTACTACTTCTGTCCCTGACATCCAGGAAACCAAAATTACAAACCAAGGCTTTTGGATAATATGAGCAGCTTAGGATCATAATCTAAAGTAATGGCAACTTGATTCAAAGTTACTCTAAGAAAACCCAGGGCTCTCTTTCAGTAGGTTTTGTTTTTTCTCTCTGGTTTCTTCCTCAGGTATAAGCAAGTGCAGCAGGGTCTGATGCTGAACTTGAAAGGAAAAGCATACTTCTTTGATGATCACTTCCCATGGCTGGTGGAGCACATTTCACTGTTGCAGATATACACAGACTCAACATAGAATTGCTATGAGTAGAACAGACCTATGGCCTTTTGTCTTTAAACAAAATGCAGTAGCTTTAGGCTGTGTGTGTATTTTCCCATAACCACAGCCATTTTACATAATTACTTCTAATCTCTTAAAAAGTAGTTAGTAGCACTGCGAAGAAATGGATATCTGAGCTCTCCAGAATCATCTCTACTAATAACATTTGTCGCTTATTAAAAACTTGCCATATTTAGGTTTTGTGCTGAGCAGTTAATGCATGTTAACTCTTCTAGGACTCACAGCAACCAAGGGTATAGACATTGATAATGACTTCTGCTATTTTAAACTACCCACCATTGATATCTCTTCAGCTAATAGTATTGCTTTAGGAAACTCCTCTATTCGTATAGTTATGTTGGAAATGTTCATCAAGGTGCTTTCGATGTCATCTTCTCCACATTTCCCCCCTCACAATTATTGTCTG